TGAATGAAGTTTTCCTTCCAATATATAGCTAAAGAGCATAAATGCAAACATTGAAGTTCGCCTTCCATACATAACCATACCATTGTAGCGGTTTGGAGCCATAGTGGAACCATAGTATCGGCCATGAAAGCATGTACCAAACAAATTTCCAACTCCTTTACCAAAACTGTGATTCCATTGCTATGAAAGATTAATAGTTAACATCCTTTACCATCCATAACTTCAATGCTTCCATTGTTATGCATGCAATGTAAAATGAACCCGACATAAATCCAAAACCAAGCTTCAAGTAACCAAGCTTCAAAAATTATATTTGCATCCACCTTGGTCACATAGAAAACTAAACAAGCTCAGCCACAGCTAAACAAACTTTGTATAGCAATTATACCCCATCATTTTTTCAATCCAACTTACCAATGAGATGCTTGATAAGCTGTTTGGAGCCATAGTTTTATCAAAAGTTGATTTTAGAGTGGGGAACCATCAAATGTGGTGCAAAATAAAAAATTTCATACAAACGAAGGACACCATGAGTGGTAGCATATTTATTTGTGTTTACCCATGCACTCTTCAATTTTTAAACCATATGAAAACAATTTTAAAACTACACAGATTCATCATCGACAAACAAGTAATCTGAAGTAATCTGAAGCCAAGCAATCTGAAGCCATGACATGAAATATATCCCAACTTGGATGTTCATGCTTAAACAACAAACAACATATAATAAACACCCATAAATATTTTTCTCCTCACTCATATTTAATCCAAAATTTAGATGTCATCTACAGCGTATGTTTAATATGACAAAAATAATTAAACATAATCGAAAGACATAATATGTAATGAAATTTAAATGCCATCGATGTGTGGGATAGAACGTCCAACGTGGTATTCAAATGCCTCAGGTGGTATTTCCATTGAATCCTCTTCTATAACAGAGAACTCTGCATCTGTCCGAGAATGGTGTCGTCGTATGAAGTTGTGTAGTGCCATTGTTGCCACTACAATCTGGACTTGTTTTGTAAATGGATAAGTTGGCTTATCACGTAGAATTACCTATTTCTTCTTCCAAACCCCGAACGATCTCTCGATCACACCATGCAAGGATGAATGTATTTTGTTAAAAATTTCTTTCTTTCCTCGTGCAACCCGCTCGATCTCTTGAAATCAGGTATATGATATTTTGTATCTGGATATGGCTTCAAATAGCCCTTTTGCAAAGGATACCCGACATCCACTAAGTAGTACTTACCTGAGCAATGTTTTTTTTCATTTAGAAAATTTAAAGTAATAAGGATGGTCAAAAGCGCAACATGATTGTCATGTCTGGTGGTGGATAAGGGAAACCATATTTTATGTTGCTAGTAGCAAACTTGAAAATGCAGTTATCGTGTGTGCTACCTTCCCATCCATCCATCACATATGTAAAACACATATTGAAATCACAAACAACTATTATATTTTGTGTAGGTGATCGGCATCGTCCAATGTATGCAACTTTCTCTTTGCCAGAAAGACGTGCGTCGACATGTGTTCCGTCGATAGCTCCGATACAATCCTGGTATGAATGAATTAATCAATAATAAAATCATAGGTGTGAAATTTTATTAACTAACATTTAAATATGGGAAGCACCTTAAAGAACGACATATAACGAGGGTCATTCGCAATATGTGTGGGGATGGACTGGAATGTTGGATCCTCTGGTTTGACTATTTGACGGGCCAGACTCACCAATGCATTCAACCCAGCTGAGAAATATCTACTTATGGTTTCAGAGGAATGTTGAAACTGTTCCATCGTTCCTCTCATCGATTCGTTCTGGGCCAAAATGTAGAGTTTTATTGCCAACACCTCTCTAGATGTTGTTCTTGATGATCCTTGAAGTCCGTGGAGGGTCCGAAGTTCATTTAAGAGGTCAATAAAAATGACTTTTGTCATACGAAACATATTTGCAAAACGTATCGGGTGACCACGTAATAACTCTCCGATCCATCTATCTCCAATATTACTGGACGTCATGCATAGGTTTCGATCTACATATGCGTTGTAGTAATGGTATAACAATGTAAGGGTGAGAGTAACAATGCAGATTTGATTAATTTGCCCTTCCTTCATAATACAAAATATGGAAGGAAGGTAGACTTTTAAACCAGATAGCAAATAGTGATGTAATATCAGAAAACATACAAAAAAGGACAATAGAATAGAAAGAGTATGCGTTTGTAAATTTGACTGCATGCAATAGAAATATGAAGAAAGTTACATACATGTCGCACATTTCATTGATATTTGCATATGTAAACATCAATGTTTGATATGTAGCTAACATATTCAAGGATGAAAGAAATACAATGTGCAGAACGAGTTTATCACATAAATAGAAAATAAGACAGAAAGAGTCAATCAAACAAATAGTCAATGAAGTTACATAAATGACATTCAATCTTTCATAAAAGAGCGCAAGTAAGGAAGACAAAATTATGGGTCTAAAGTCTCAAAGAACTACCTCCGGGTAGAGTTCCCTAACAACTTCACATACTTAACATACATATCTTGGTCTTCCTTAATTGGTCTTCCTTAATGCTTGGTCTTCCTTAATGCTAGGATATGTGTTAAGGATCTTAACACACTCATGGATTGTGTTGTCCTTTGCAGTTTTGGAATTATTTTTTAAAATTTCAATCAATGTCTCAATAGAACCTCTAAAAAATGCAAAGCCTTTTTTATTTTTTGCAGGACAGAGGCGCTTTGTTCCACCAGTGGAATGGATATCCGTGTGGATTTGGCTGGGACCTTCTCCTGAATCACCTATATGCTCGGTCTCTATATCCTCTGCTAAGTTTGCAACACCCTGCTCATTAGGAGTGAAAAAATGAGTTCCTGTTGCTACAACACCAGTAAACATGCTATCCAACTTCTCCTCCAAAACTGCTTCACTTCCATTAAATTTGAATTTTTTTGCCACTGG